AGCAACTCAGTGAGACCCCGACTCTAAATAAAATACAAAATAGGGCTGGGGATGTGGCTCAGGGGTTGAGTGCCCCTGAGTTCAATCCCTAGAATCCAAAAAGAAAGAAACTGGTTAAGTACCCCTGGGTATCCCTAGTACCAATAAATAAATAGATTATAGATAGATAAAAGAACTGGGGATGTAACCACAATACAAGGATCAGTTCCCAGTGCCAAAACAAACTTCTTTTACCCTTAATTTCTTCTCTACTTACTGCTCTTTCTCTCTCCTTACCTTCATTGCCAAACACCTCAAAACAGCTCCCATGGCTCTCAACTTGCAGTGATTTTTTGCTGATCAGGGGACATTTAATAATATCTGAAGTTGTTTGTTTTTTGTTTTGGTGCTGGGTATGGAACTCAGGACCTCACACGTACTAAGCATGTGTTCTACCACTAAGCTATCCCTGCAACCCCTGGAGACAGTTTTGATTTTAACAACTAGTAAAGGAGGTATGCTACTGGCATCAAAATGGGGAGAAGATTCCTGCCATGATGGATTGTGAAAAAGAAAATGAATAAACAAATGGGAACATAAATAAATGGGTTGCTGCTAACATCTCACATTGCACAGAACAGACTCCCAGAATGAAAAATTATGTGGCCCAAATGTCAACAATGCCAAGACTGAATAAACCCTGGTGTCCTCCAATCAGGCCTTCATCCCAAGTACTACTTCATGAAACAGCTCCTGCTAAGACTTTCAATGACCTCTATTACTTTATCTTGCCAGAATTTTTAATCTTCTTTTTATAAAACTTCACTACATCTATCAATTTTCTGTTTACCACTTCTTAGACATTTCTGTAGTCTCCACACTACAAACTCAGCTGTTAATACTGGAATTTCTCAAGACTCAATCTCTTTCTTCTTACTTTATATATGTCATTCAAATTGTCAGCATCAAGCAGGGCATGATGGTGCACCCATCTCAGGTACTCAGGAGCCTAAGGCAGGAGGATTAGGAATTCAAGACCAGTAGGGCAACATAGCAAGACCCCTGTCTCAAATAAAAATAAAATTCACAGCTTCAGTTACCATATATAAGGGATATCTATATCTTCATCTGTCTAACACCTCCTTCCTCTTTTTTCGTTGACCAAAACTCTCTTTTCCTTTTGGGAACTGCCTTCCTCCCAACAGGTATCCCATGAGTGGGTATACAATTCCAGAAAGTCCAATTATCTGGAAATTAATATAGGCAAAAAGAGGACTAGATTACAGGCTCTAAAGCCACAGTTACTGGGAGCTATTTTTATCAGGGAAAAAGCTACATAAGACTGAAGCCAATAAAGTTAAAGGATGAGTCAAGAAAATGGAAAGAAAAGACAGCTCTGTAACACAGTTTTTGAGCACCTGAATCAGGCCTCCTTAGCATTTCAGCTACATGACCCAACATATTTTCTTTTTCATTTGTGCTACTTTGAGCTGCTTTTTTAACCAAAAGAGTCTAATAACATGATATTAAAGGCTCCTCAAATTCAACTTGTC